TAGGCTCCTCACCCCGGCGGCTGCGTCCTTCTCGCCTAATGGAGGGGTGCGATGACGGTACGATGGTGGCGGCGGTGTTGTCCTCACATCTGGAATGGTGTGGATCAGAGGGGGCCCGTTCTTGGATGGATCTGAGAGGGTTCATGGAGCAGAAGTCACGTGCTTGTAGGACAGGATAGACGGCAAGAAACCGAGGTGAGAGGACGGGAGATCGGGCTGAGCTGGGGATCGTTCTATCCGGAGTAGGGAGCGGGGCGTGAGCAGGGCGTAGGGCTGTGGCAGGGTGTGTCGTGCTCCTAGACGGGGGAGCCAAAGCGCTGATTGGGAAGGAGGTGATGGAGTCAAATTAATAAAGCCACTAATTAGGGCTGCTTTTTAGGAAAACCGGTTGAAAGGGAGGAAAAAACATTTTAGGTAGTAGAGATTGGCACCAGGTAAACCACGGTGATAGAAGAAGGGAATCTCTACCATGCTGATAAAAGAAAGGAAGGAAATAGAAGAAAAGAATTGATTGAAAGAAGGAAGGAGATTGATCATCCTCATCGAGTTATTGTGTTATGAAATCAGATTCTTATTACCATGCATGAATTGATTGCGTTTGGTTACCATACGTGAATTATTTGTTTATACCAAAGATATAAGAAAAGAATACAAAACCAAGGATAAAACCGGTAGGGAGAAAACCGGTGGAGGGCAAAAAGAAAATCGATTGGGGGAGAGGGGGTCGTACCAGAGGTTGGACGAAGCGAGCGGAATGTAAGAGGGGAGAGGGAACCTTACGTTTCTTTTAGGTAGTAGAGATTTTCACTTTTTTCTTTTTTTTGTTTTCCTTAGTTTTTCTTTGGTTTTATTTGTTTCCTTCCCAATTTTATTGGTTTTTTCTTTTCTTTATTTGTTTTGTTTGGTTCTTTCTCTTTTTCATAGGCTTTCTTTGTTTTTTCTCGGTTTTCACAGTTTTCATTCTTATGCATTGGTTTCTTCGATTTTTCTTTTTATTTGAGTTTATTTTCTTTCTTTTTCTTTTTTGGTTTTTATTTGGCTTCTCCTTTTTTATTGTTTCCACCGATTTTCTTTTTTGTTCAACATTGTTTGTCTACATCGGAAATAGTTGTTATATAATGTATGATGTGTATGGAAAAAAATAGGCATAAAAAAGTTTTCAAGAAATGTAAATCATTTTTAACATTTTTCAAATATGAGATTAACAGTTTTTGAATACATGGTCAACATTTTTCTAATACACATTTATCATTTTTGAAATGCTAGGTTAACATTGTTCCAATACAAGATGCATTTTTTTCAAATGCTTAATTAACATTTTTTAAATACATGAACGACTTTTTTCATAAACATTTACATTTTGCTGCATAAATTTTGTGTATACATGAGAAACATTTTCTCTGTACGCATTTAACATTTTTTCAAATGCTTGGTTAACATTCTTTTAAATGTTTAACGTAAAGTTTGATTGACAGTTAGTTTATGTTTCCTCGATCTGTTACTAGAACATGTCCCAAGCGCTTGCTGGGATGGGTTGCAGCAGCCGCTCCTAGCGAATCGACCAGGGTTAGAATCCTGGTACTCCATTTTTACTTTTTTGGGGGGGGAGGGGGGGGCAATGCCCCCTTGGCCCCAAAGGAGCTAGGCTACAACATACGAATGTATGTAGACATATTTTAGAGTGTAGATTCACTCATTTTTCTTCGTATGTAGGCACTTGTTGGAATCTCTTTTTTCTCGAATACACCATGAAAGGGTGTATCATCATTTCATAGAAGAAGGAACAAGCGGCCAATACCACTCCACCATAGATACCGTGCCAAATAGGCAAACAACTCCACGCTAATCCTTGGGATTAGAACCATGCTACGACAATCGAAAGCAAAGGAAGATTCCTTGCCCGATTCCACCTAAGATGGCGAAGAGATGGGACACCGAGCAACCAGACCACGCCTTACCAATACACTACACAACCAAGCCGCGACAAAAACCTTAAGACTGGCTGGGTCAACGTACCGCCCCACCCATATCGCCTAGAGAAGTCGGCAAGTGGGTGGCCGGACCAAGCCAAGCTAGAGGAAGAAGACACGCCGGAAGCGACAGCAATGGCATACATTGCACCCCGAAGGCTCATGTCCTGAGTGGCAACTCAAACCGTGAACTGAGACGCCCCAAGCTCCAACTCCGAGGCCTCTGCATAGCCAAGGCGGCATCTTCATGAAGGAAATGACGTCGTGACGCCGCCGCTGCCTGTTCCGGTGAACCGAAACAAGGCTTTCCCCTGGCACTCGAGGATTGACAAGATCAAGGCCATAGCCCACTCGTGAGTTCGCTTAAGCGAGATATTGATCCGACTAGCTTGAAGCGAGGTATAGACGCGCCCCAGGGAGAGGGCTCCGGCCGGTTTTCGTACTAGTTCTCCCTCACCGGCCCATCAGATGCAAGAGAGAAGTAATTACGGACCAGGCCCAAAGGTAGTCTGATCAGGACGCTCATCTTTTTTTTTTGAACTGATCTTTTGGCTTGTTTTGTTCTGGAGCGCTGCTCAATCGTCAAATTGAAATGTGGAGATGTGAAGTGCCCACGTGAATGCATGGCTTCCACCAAAGACACGTGGTTTCACATTTTTATTTTTTATTACAGGTATATAAACGTGGTTGCACGAGAGACATGGAAATTCTTTTTTTCTTCGAGGGAAATGGTTAATCTGGCCCCGATCGATTACCAGCTCCGTTACTCTACCCGCCGCTAATCTCGTCAATCTGCACTGCACACCGCACAAAAGGGTCCCAAGATGCTGTAGGATTTCAGATCTAACAAATAATCAATTGGAATACATATATTCGTCTGAACTGCAAGTGGTTAAGGAATTTAAATTGTTGTTTGAAACAAGGAATTTAAGTAGTGGTGTGGGAAAAAAAAGGAGCTATAGAGGAAAGACATGGGCGCAAACAAAACGACGGCGAGTCTCCAGTCGTCGAGCTCCAGAGTCCACCGCAGCCCACGTCGTCCGCCTCCTCTCCACTCCCCACGCCGCGCCCGCCTCCGGCTCCCACTCCCCTCATGCGCCCCTCCGCGGCGGCCACGGCCGCCTTCCTAGCCCCCGCCGTCACGGCCTCCAGCCGCCTGGTTCCGCTCCGGCGGGCGAGGCGCTTCGCCGTACGCTGCGTCGCCGCCCCTCCCGCCTCCAAGCCTGCGTACTCGCCCTCCAAGGTGAGATCGTCCAACACTTGGGTAGCGGAATACAAAGTATCAACATTAATCGTTGGTGTGGCTGGCTGCCGGATTTGGGCACATCAGAATCGTTGTATTGGGTGGCTGGGGAATCGGTTGAAATAAGCCGCGAGTCATAGCACGATTGAGGTCCGGAAACTTATTCTACGCGGATTTAGATCTCGACTTGTTTGGTACTCCTAGGTTTTAAGTCTCAAGAAACTTCCATATACTGTTTAAAAATATTATCAATGCCTAGCAGAGCTTACGTGCCACTTAAGTGTACACTCCTAGATCCTCTATAATATTATGCTCCCTAATTTTAGAAGCCTCACAATCAATTGAGGTCTCCAATTGAAATTGAGTCACCCGATTATAACGGGTCAATAATTTCTCAAAGCTCTCCCATTTAATTCTTTTACACTGTACACTATGCTTTCTAATTTTTAAGACCTCATCACAATTAATTGAGGTCTTCAATTTAGAATTGGGTCACCCGATTCTGACCGGATCAACAGTTTCTCAAGGGGATCTTCCATTCAATTATTTTAATTCACTATGTTCCCTAATTTTGAAACTCTTTCATTCGATTGAAGTATTCAATTTTGGGTTTAGTTTACGATTTTGATCGGGCCAACGTTTTTTCAAATCAATCAGCAGCAGTCGGCCTGTAAAAACATATCAACCCCGCACACCCTCCCACCACCTAGAAAAAAGAAGCGCCACCATCCGATACTGTAGCACCAATATAGTACATGCAGCCACCGACGCAGAAATCCCCACAGAATTATCAGTTGATTAGCGGATAACACAGAATCACACCGTGAAAGGCCCACCAAATCACTGCATCATAAATAAAAATAAAAGAAACTCTATCATTGCCCTCACCCTCCGAACCAAATATTCTATCAGTTCCAAAATATAAGGGGTAATAGTTTTTTGACCAAGTTTAGAGCCAAAAATATTGACGTCCACGATTTAAACAGAAAAAAGGGAAATTCATTTCATGACGAATCTGATGATACCGATATGATATTATGGATTTTGATATATTTATCTGTGAATTTGATCAAACTGAAAGAGATTTGACTTTTCAAAAAGTAATACACCTTATATTTTAAACACATAGTGAGTAATTCTTTTTAAGAAGCCCAACAACACCAACGGCGCAGCAAAGCGCGCCCACCCCTTCTAGTAGCTATGCAGCATGCTGGGGTGGTTGTCGAGTTTTGATCCGTCTTCTATTCTACTTTACGTGGAGCTTACCTTGAACCCTTCACTTACAAAGTGGAGAGAGGGAGGGAGCATCTAATTTGCATCCTGCAACACAATATCCTTCTTCCATTGTAAAACCAATTATATTCCGCCTATGTCTTCTAGGCATAGCCGGTCCCAAGCCCGGGTAAAGGAGGAGGATTGTGATAGGCTTGGCGAGCCAACGTAAAAACTAGCCAGTCCCATAGGTATGAAACCCATTTGAGCGAGAGTAGTACTAGGATGGGTGACCTCCAGGGAAGTCCTCGTGAAAGGGTTTCATATCTAAGGGTTGTGATAGGCTTGGCGTGCCAACGTAAAAACTAGCCAGTCTTTTGGATATGAAACCCATTCGGGCGAGAGTAGTATGGGCGACCTCCTGGGAAGTCCTCGTGAAAGGGTTTCATATCTAGCCTACCCCAACTTGTTTGGGATAAAAGGCTTCGTAAGTAAGTAAGTAAGGTGGCACAGAGATTAATAATTGGATTGAATGATCAGTTTAACCTTGTGCGAGATGTTTAGCCCTAGAGAAAGCCTCAAATCTATGTTGACACTATCGATTGACGACTGTTGGGTAAAATTATCAAAACACTGTTGTAGATTTTTCTTGACAAGGTGGAATTACTGTAACGTGAAAGAAATGGAGTCCTTACTACTTACAGTATGAAATGGAAGTAGAGAAAAATCTCAAATCTATGCTGATGCTATCCATTGATGACTGTTGGGTCAAATTATCAAAACACCGTTGTAGATTTTTCTTGACAAGGTGGAATCACTACAAGATGAAAGAGAGTCTATACTACTTACAATATGATGAAGACGTATCTTCAGTAGTGCAGTGTTGTCCACATGCATATGAGGTGTTCTGTTTCATGGTCAGTATTGTTTAACCTTTTTGGCTCACATTATCCAGAACCCCGCAAGCCTGATCTCTGTTCTCTCTCTTTCTCTCTCTCTCCCCCCTCTTTCGCTCTGACAAACTGGCGGACGCGTCGGGCTGGGCGCGGCATCTGATTGGTGCACCGTCGAACCGCAAGAGGACGGCCTCCATTGCGGTGGTGACGCTTTGGGCAATCTGGAAGGAGCGGTGCAGGAGGGTTTTCCAAAACTCGGCGCGGCCGGCATCAGTCCTGACTGATGAGATCCAGCTGTGGCAAATGGCGGGTGCTTTGCACCTGGACTTGCGAGAGTAGTCTTCCTCTGGGCAGCGCCCCTTTTTTTTCCCTTTGTTCTATTCTACCCCTGTAAACATCTCCTGCACAGTGTGTTTTCTTATCAATGATAACCAGCAGCTCTCCTGCTGGACTTAAAAAAAATGTCATACAAAATCTCAAGACCAATGCGACCTCAGTTTGAAGAGATGGAAAAGAAAAAAATGTGCATGAGTGGTGATTTTTCGCTGCCATCAGTATATGTTTTTGCTACCTGTCAATTTCGTATCTTCCAAATCAGTTGAGCTGGGCCTTGAAGTTTTAAATGTAAATTAAATGTGCGCTCTCTACATGCCAATTTTCTTTTGCAAACTGTTTGAAAACCTTAGGTACCTCTTTAAGAGGAGGATGCACAGATGCTTCCTCCTTTTTTTATCTCCCTTTCATCTGCTTATCCAGTAGTAGTTGGTCCGTTTAATTGGTTTAGCTTCAGTGTTCCCTAATGGTCTGGCACATCTACTTTCTTTCTAGTTCTTATTCACAGACGGTGTCATGCCAGGGCCTTATCTTTGGTTCTACCTACTTGATTGCTAGTGCAGTGATTTTGCTATGTCGATCTCATTAATTGTCATGTATGTCTGAGTTTATGCATATACTTGCATGTTCTCTAAGATAGAGCGAAGTTGATGTCATATTGCTCCTATAGTAACAATGATGAAAGGTTGGGACATAAGGAATTGACTTTACAGGGAAAAAAATGGAAATAGGAATTGTGAGGCAAACAAAACAGAATGCTAAGTTTTTTCTTGATGACCTTGAAGACTTGAACAGTGGACCACGTTGTGCTGAACTTGGTACTATGACAAGAAAGTCCTTTGTCCCAAGCAAGTTGAGGTAAGCTAGAGATGAAACCAACAGAAACCTATGCAAACCCATAAAAGAAGGGATCAAGTACACGTAAACAGAGTGAAGGAATGTAAATTAAGGTTCTGGTACATGGATTGCTGAATTCCATGCAGTGGTATAAAGGGCTGAATCTCTGGGTACATTCCAGTCCTGTAAGTCTCTTTTTACCGCCTCCTCCCATGTCAACTTTGGTCGCCCCCTACCCCTCCTAGTATTTTCGCTACTCTTTAAAGTACCTCTATTCACTGATGCTTCTGCAGGTCTCCGTTGGATATGTCCAAACCACCTTAGTTGGTGTTGGACAAGTTTCTCTTCAATTGGTGCCACCCCTGCCTTATCACGTATTCCCTCGTTCCTAATCCAGCCCTTTATTGTATAGCCACACATCCACCTTAGCATGCACATCTCAGTGACACTCATTTGTTGGATGTGTTGTCTCTTAGTAGGCCAACACTCCGCTCCATATAGCATGGCAGATCTGATCGCCGTCCTATAGAACTTACCTTTGACCTTTTGTGGTACCTTGTTGTCACAGAGGATGTCAGATGCTTGCCGCCAGTTCATCCACCCTGCTTTGATACTGTGGCTAACATTCTCATCGATACTGCTGTTACTTTGTAGCATTGATCCCAAGTATCAGAAGGTGTCCCTCTTAGGCAATGGCAGACAAACAGTGGACCACATTGTGCTGAACTTAGTACTATAATATGCACAAAATATTGCTGAAGTTTGTGATACCATGTTTACTTCAACATATTCCGCTAGTACAATGGTTAGTGCATGCATTTGTTAAAGTTAAGGTCCTCAGTGAATATCGACTACTTTAGAGGCAAATATCACAACATTGGACTGCTAACTGTGGTCACAAGAGCAACTTTATTTTGTCTCTCTGTGGTATTATCTGTCTAACATTATTTGGTATTGCTTTTCTAGACTGGAAATTGGCAGTGGACATTTGAGGATAAACCAGTAAGCGTTTACTATGAGGAACATGAGCAGGGGACTGCTGAGAATGTGAAGAACATCCTTATGATCCCTACGATTTCTGATGTTAGCACAGTGGAGGAATGGAGGGTGGTCGCCAAAGATATTGTGACACGGAAAGGAGAACTCAGCTACCGTGCTACTATTGTTGATTGGCCTGGTCTGGGTTATTCAGACAGGCCATCACTGAACTATAATGCTGATGTGATGGAGAATTTTCTGGTTCAGCTACTGAACTCACCAAATAGTCCTGTGGCGGATGCAGGTAAAACAGAATTTACTCTTTCAGTCAACTGGTAGTCTGTCATTGCAAGCATCTTTCCTGGAATTAGTACTTGATTCTATGCACTTTGCTTTTGTTACGGTTATTTGGTTCACGAATATGACTCATTCTTCTATCCTTTAATGGTAGCTTCCTACTTTACCTGCATATGCTTATTGTAACCATTGTTATGAAAAGTATATGTATGGTTCAAACTGTTTAGTGGTTCAACCAGAGCCCAGAAGTAGTATGTTTGTGCTATGCACGAAATTATGCCTGCCCAACATTATCATTCACAGCCAACTGAAATATTCTAGAGAAAGTGTTACATTCTTCTTGGCTAGTACATGAAAGCTGGCTGGCCATTTTATGCTGGCATCTTACGGTTACGGTTCTGAACATAATTATCGTATGTTAGTACTTCGTGGGTAGAGCAATGTAGTTAAAGGAAGCTTATAGAGTTCAGAAGAACAGCCAAAGCCACCATGGGAATATTCTCTTGTCAATGTTAACAAGTAGAACATATGCCAGAAAGCAGAAAACAAATTCTAGTTGATCGATGTTTGTCAGATTGACGTCTGTTGTCAGTATGATTTTTCAATTATTCAGTAACGGCAATCACTTTAAAATTTTGTTCTGTTTGAATCTCAGTAGTGACTTAACGATGCGGGTGTATGCTTGCACTGTCTACACTATGTTCAGATGGTGAACTGGTAGTTGTTGGAGGTGGTCATGCAGCAACCATAGCTATCCGTGCAGCTGGGAAGGGCCTTATCAGACCATCTGCGGTTGCTGCTGTTGCACCTACTTGGGCTGGACCCCTTCCAATTGTATTTGGCCGAGGTTCTGATATGGAAACAAGGTAGTAAACTTGCGCTTATTAATTCTTATGGTATTACGTATATTTGCCAGAGAATACTTTTATAGGCACTCTTGTGTTCTGTCATCTGTGCAACTTTGTGTATGCTCAAATCAGGTGGAGGCAGGGCACTTATTTTGTTAAGAGTTTTTTTAAAGATAATAGCATAATACCATGATCACCACTACCAATGCACTCAGTTTGCATATTTTCTTGTGCTGTCTTGACTACAAAATCTGTAGACACTCCATTTACAAGCCTCATGCCTGTGGGCTATGGCTATATTCCCTGACCCTTTCCTCACAATATTTGTTGTTCATTGTGTATGTCAATTGTCAAGGGTGAATATACAAAATGTGGTATACAGATGTGATAGGCATGAAACATACCCAGAATCGTGAGGTTTGTGAAGCTGTGGAAACATTAAGATGATCTTTATAATCCTTAGATGCAACCGGACTATAGGAGAAAATACTCCCTTTTGATCATCATTATACTGTATCAAATAGTACCTCATCCTGCCTTTTATTCTGTAGTGTTTATGCCTATCAGTAGTGCTATCACATGCCTTTAGGTAGGTTGGAGCATCTCGTTCAACAAACAGTAAATCTGCTAGTTGGTTCAGTACAAATCTTTCAGTTGCAACACTGTTAGTAAAATCTTCTACGTGGTTTAGTACAGATTTGCATTTAGTTGCAGCACTGTTTTGCATACATATCTTTTCGATCGTAGGCAGTTGCAACATGGTGATGTGTAGGCCCCACAGCTAGGGTGCAATTGAGAAAATGTTTGTGTACGAACGAGTCTGCCTTATGCAGTGATTTCATTAGTTATGTTTGGCCTTGTTTGTCATTATGGAATTGTCTATGTGGTTGCACAGAGAAAGTACAGTAGTATTTGCAGGCACTCATTTTCCAAATTGGTTTTATGGCTTCATGTTCCAAATTGTTTTTTCTGCCTTATGCAGTGATTCCATTAGTTATGTTTGGCCTTGGCTGTCATTATGGAATTGTCTATGTCGCTGCACATGGAAAGTACAGTACCATTTGCAGGCACTTCATTTTCCAAATTGGTCTAATGGCTTTATGAGAAAGCAGATTGTCATTTCTGTGCTGTGGTACTGATTTTCATGTGTAGCCTCACGCATTTAACTTATGCTGATATATATATTTAACTGATTAGTGAAGCCTGTGATGGAGGATTGTAGGTGTGACCTAAAGCAGTATGCATTGAAATCACACAGAATAAGTACTGATGTAGATGATATGTCACCACTATTAGCCATTTTTCTACAGATACATGGTCTGCTAGTGCATAAGATTCAAGCTGACCGCACTAAAATAACTTTTGACCTGTCAATAACAGGTACGGGCTTCTACGAGGAACCCTCAGGGCCCCAGCCATCGGCTGGATGATGTACAATCTTCTGGTGAGCAACGAAAAGTCCATCCAGTCCCAGTACAAGTCCCATGTGTATGCCAACCCTGAGAATGTGACACCAGAAATCGTCGAGAGCCGCTATGAATTGACCAAAAGAAAAGGCGCACGATACGTCCCTGCCGCGTTCCTGACGGGCCTTCTCGACCCCGTCCAGTCGAGGGAAGAGTTCCTGCAGCTGTTTGCCAAGTTGGATGGAGATGTCCCTGTTTTAGTGGTGTCGACACTGAATTCCCCCAAGAGGTCCAAGGCCGAGATGGAGGCTCTCAAGGGCGCCAAAGGCGTGACCAAATTCGTGGAGGTCCCGGGCGCGCTTCTGCCGCAGGAAGAATACCCCTTGGCAGTTGCGGAGGAGCTCTACGACTTCCTGCAGGAATCATTCTCGTCAGGAAGATGAACTGCACTTGTGAGGAAACTACACCGGGGTGACCCTGACTGAGTTCATGGACCCATATCGCCTTTTGCCGTTAATCCATCGACGTGCCATGTTGGTTGTACCTGAGGTTTTTAGAAGCAGTAAAGCAGCACCATCAGTTCCTGGGTGCCCACACATACCGGACGGAGCCTGTTTCTGACGGAGCTGACGTCCACACATACAGGTTCAATTTGTGTAAAAAAGCATACTGCCCTGATCAATAATTGCAGGTAAACGTCTCTTCGCTCTTCCTTGTCCGACCCGTACGTTTCACCTAGGCTAGGGGGCGACGGCGTGCGGCGGCGGCGGCGTCATTGAGCAGCGCTCTTTCGCCGCCGGCGAATCAATGCTTGAAGCTGAGAGGTGCTCGCTCGCGGGCTGTTGTACGTATCTGGAACCAGAAGCTCAGTCCGGTACGCACGTTGCGGAGGGTGGTCGTACAGGCAGATTCTTGATCAGTAATAATTGGGGCGTGATCCCAGCGGCTGGCCGTGCCGCGGCCATCAATGCCGCATTTAGTGAAGCCTCCCGAGGCCAGCGGCGACCTCCGGCACGCAACCTCACCGCGCGCGCCTCGCCGGGCTCGGTCCCGGCCACCGTGAAACTCTGAGAGCAACGCGGCGGTGTCGGCATGGTCCACCAGGTCGCCGTCGAGGGCGCCCACGTGGCGCCCCGACGGGGCCTGAGAGGGACGGGCATTCAAGGGGGTCGAAAGGGAAGTCGGGGTGGCAAGTGAGGTGTCCCGGTTCCGGAGGTGGACTTCCTGTGCGCCGGTGCTCGTCTCTCGCATCATGATCGCTTGATGACGGTCCATGCAAGAGTGGGCGCTGGCCACTGTGGAGTCGTAGCGTCGCCCCGGGCTTAAATGCCGCGAGATTGATAGGGTCTTGGGTGGGTGTATGCCTGGATGTGTACTGGACCGTGGCAGTGGCAGGACGAACACGCCTGTATGCGTGTGCGCGATGCGTTTCTCCCATTGTAGCTGTTTAAGATTGCGTGGAGTGTTCGAGTTCAAGGCATCTAGAGCCTGGATGATAGCACTCCGGTGTTCTCTCGTGCGCAACCGAAACATCGGAACAGGAGGATTTCAGGCATAAGCTAGAAGGACAAGGCCGAACGAGAACGGAAAATTGTCAAGTCACCGATCTCCAGCTTGTTTGTTCACTTTCACCCCACGTATAGCCGTGACAAAAAAGCATCACTGGTTTGGCGCCAATGCGTCTACGAAAAGTCCACTAGGAGCAGGGACAGGACAGCACCAACAATGCAAAAAATAGGCAGCAAACGAGCTTCTGCATGGGCACAAGCGTCAGCTGTTAGGGCCATGCAAGCAACCGCCAGTGCCATCCATGCCGATGCCGATTCCCGCCGACTCTTAACAAGTCCAAGTTTGCTTCGCGATCCCGGTAACCTTTTCTGGTAGCTCCCGTCGTCTCGGACGGGCTCTCGGCACGAGTTTCCTCTTCGGCTCATGGCTTCAGATTTAAGATGCAAGCGGCGTGCGGTCTAAGCCTGCTATAAATCGGTCATGAGACTCGCGCTGCAACTGATTTCTCCAATTTTGAGTAAGAAGCTCCTTCAGATGACTTCACTTCACTTTGGCATGCAATGTTTTCTCTTCAAGATGGTTCTTCTTTTTCTTTTAGAAAAGGAGGATGCACCCCCGCCCCTGTATCTGAACGATGCACTCAGTCATTTTATTAATTATTTATAAAGATCATATAAGATGATACATCAATAAGCTTTTCCCGTTGCAATATCACCGTATTCGAAGAACATAGGTTAGCTGTCATCATCCTCTTCTTCTTCATTGTCTTCCATCATAACCCCCTTTCTCCGTGCTTGGTCCAAACATTATAGTGTGGCATGAAACCCTTCTCAAGCAGGTGCAAGTGAATGGTTTTTCGGTTAGAGTAATCCTTTGTATTCTCACAGACATGACATGGACAATACATAAAACCATTCTGCTTGTTTGCCTCAGCCACTTCAAAAAAATTATGCCGACCCTCAATGTACTTCTTTTTTGCGAGAAAATTTCTGATCTATTCATCTTCAATCATGGCAGTACAACGAATACCAAAAATAATAAAAATTACATCCAAATCCATAGACCACCTAGCAACGACTACCAACACTAAAGCGAGCCGAAGGCGCGCCGCCGTCATCGCCCCTCCATCGCTGGAGTCGGGCACAGCTTGTTGTAGTAGACAGTCGGGAAGTCGTCGTGCTAAGGCCCCGTAGGACCAGCGCACCAGAACAGCGACCGCCGCAGATGAAGAATAACGTAGATCATAAAGAACCAATCCGAAGACACGCGAACGTAGACGAACAACGACGAGATCCGAGCAAATCCATCAAAGATAGATCCGCCAGAGACACACCTTCACACGCCCACCAACGGTGCTAGACACACCTCCACAGGCCCTCAATGTACTTGGAGGTGCGCCGGTCACCGTACATCCATTGTCGGTTCATCTATGTGCATTATATAATTAAGTGTATAAAAAACCATTACAAAACATCATGAATACAAAAGTGATCAAATTAATACAAGTTCATCATCATATTAAAATCAAAGTACATTAATTAGTGCTAAAATGTTATTACTGCAAAAATAGATACATAAAGTTCATACATAGTTCTCATAGAACAACATATAGCTCTCTAGAGCATCTAATTAAAACATTCATTGAAACTAACATACAACTATGTAAAACATTTAAATGCAACAATAAATGCGATCATAATCGCAACTAAGGTAACAATTGATCCAACAACATAATGATACCAAACCTCATTATCAATGACATATTTTTTAATCTTTCTAATCTTTAAGTGCATTGCATTCATCTGGATCTTGTGATCATCAACGACATCGGCAACATGCAACTTCAATTTCATCTTCTCCTCTTCAATTCTTTTCATTTTCTTCTTCAAGTAATTGTTTTCTTTTTCAATTAAATTTAACACTCGACAAGAGGGTTGGTTGGAATTTTTGGTTCAGATACCTCCTAGATAAAAATATCTATGTCACGTTGGTCGGCATAATTGTCATAAACACTAAATAAAACAAATAGTAATAAAAGATAATATACCACATCTGAATCATAGACAGGACGAGAACCGACGGGGGCGGATACCAAAACCATGACACTATATAATAACAAACAATAATAAAAGTAAGAAAATTATACAAGTACCTATCTAAATCATTCAAGTAAGAATTTTTTCTTTTAAAAAGAAGATAAATAACAAGAGGCTAACCGCGGTGGTGCCGGCGACGAGATCGGCGCAGGCGATCGACGTCGGTGAGGACTGGGACGGGGACGGCACCCTGCACATGCATATGCATACTCTAAGAAGTTAATTTCAGCTCAAAATGTGCATCTAAATCAAAAGAACTCCCACATACACTCCTCCACTAAAACACACAAATCACTCTACTTATAGAGCATTTGAAATGAGCTAAACTAGCAGTAAGAGATGAAATGATGAAGTTGCTAACCTTTTACAACACTTGTGTAGTTGGTGCACTGTCAAACCTAGACAAATCTTGGGAAAAATGTAGCTCAGAGGTCGAGCTTGGAGAGGAGAAAACTTAAGTGTGAGTCGGCCATTTCATCAAACACCTCATGTGCATTGGAGGTGAGAACAGAGTAGCACAAACCTCCCACCCTTCCAGGGCCAAAAAACAAAGGAGGGGGAGGGGGCGTG